GAAAATACATTGTTACAGACAGACAAGTGAAGAGCCTTGTGTTTATTACTATTGAATTCATACCATTTTTATAATTTGAATCTTCAAGGTCATCTGGTTCTTACATGAAATACCTTCCCTTCAGTCCCCTGCTGACAGTACAATGTCTCTTTTAATAATCTGTACATTTCTTCAGTACTTCTCATGCCATGGCTGTTAAAGAAAGTACCGAGACAGGCAGATCCCAGGCTCCCTCTGTAAGGGACTACTCTGATAAGCTCCATCAAATCTGACATTGCCCTTTCAGAAGTGCCCCTTTCCCCTGACTTGTCTCTCTCTGTTCCCAAGCCTTTCACAGCAGAGCTCTGACAATGGGGTCGGGCATTGCCTGGATCACCTTCTTATATGTATTTAACCCTACGTTTCTTGATCTCTAAGATAGTGGACTTTCCTGATCAGTTCATTCTCTACTCCACTGTTTGCTTGGTTTCAATAATTTTTTAATATTCTTTTAATGGTCTATTACTTCTCCAGAGTAGCTAGGAGCTTGATCCCACAAAGTTTTACATTGTACACGGGTATGAATTCTACATAATGTTATCATTTTTCATTTGAAGAAAAGCTGGGCTTTTTCCACGTGCAGTCCCCTGAGGTCCTGAATCCACTTTTTATCTCTAGTATTTTGTATTTTCTCATCATAGTTCTTTTTTTTTTTTTTTTTTTGCACTTTCAATGTCTGGCAACAGGTATAATACATTAATCATGTTCCCATATTAAAGGATATACAAATCTGTAATTGCAGCGTTTCATAAGGGATCCTTATCTCTGCAGCAGACTGCAATACCCTGCAGGAACATATGAAATCCCAAATGTTTGGGATTACCAGCTTATGGAGCAGAGGCTATGGGTGCCCATCTCAAAATTGGGGGACTTGCAGAGACAGAAGGAAACAAGCCTGTAAAACACGCAGATGCTGTGCACGTACAGGGAATGGACCGGGAGAATTTCCCTGTTAATGCTCCATTTTATTCTCCAGTTTGAATCAAACTGCCATTTCTCCCTTTTGCCCCGTCTCCTGTGACTGAACACAGCCTACTTGCAGGGAAGCTTATGCCATTAATTGTCACTGATGGATGGTGGGAATTAGGGTTATGTGTTTTGCTTTCCGAGGCCTGACTGTCTGACCGTCTCATCACCTGCCATGACCAAGGGCACCAGCCCCATCTCTTGGCGTTGTGCTGCTTTGGACAGGTGTCAATAGTTTCAGGTCCAACTTTCCACTGGGATTAGGAACAGGAATTCATTGATTTTAGTGGCTAAACTTAACTTGGAGCAGCTGGGACTGTGGTTCAACATGAAAAATGAGGCCAGTAATGTTTATACATCTTACACTTTAGAATTTTTTTCATCCAATGTATGAACACCCATAATCCAAGGCTATGTTTTACTCAGTAATGGTTGCCACAGACTGGAAACCCTATTTGTAGTATATCATAAGTACCTGTAAAGCAAAAGTATATCATAAGAATCTATCAATTAAACAATAGCTCCAAACACAGTAGTAAGTTATGCACCATCTCATAATTTATTATAATACAAACAAGTTTGTCAAACACAATATATTGCCTACTTATGAAAATATCCATATTCACAATTTAAATAGGTGATAGGTTCCATCATTCTATATTTCAGCAGCTCATCTAAAAATATTTTGTTCCCAGCTGTGGTCTTCAAGGACATATACCTATAAGTAACTGTAAAACTGTCCATTCACAGCTTTTTTTCTAATTGCAGATATTTGAAATATAGAGTACAAAAGGCCACCTCCACAACCAAGATGGTTTTGTCTCCACGATACTTTTTGCCTAAATGATGACACTGTATGTGCTTGGTTAAGTTTTTACTACTGGAAAATTAGGAGGTATGAATAATACATCAAGATATTGGCTAGTTAGCAACTGTCATTGCAAGATGCTTCACACAACCAAAAATAAGGCAAGTATTATCAACAGCAGCTCCCATATGGCAGGCTAAAAAATCAAGGCTTTATTATCCAAACTGGACTCTAAGAAGGCTTCAAATGTCTGCTAACAAGAAAACAGCTTGATCCAAAGCCCCTCTCCTAAATGGATGGGGATTGGAAAAACCAACCCCAAAACCCACAAGGAACCTTCCCTTTGAGTTCAAGGGGCTTTGGAAGTGAGCTCTTAAAGCCCTAAATTATCAAAAATGTCCAATCCACTGCACGTGAAAATTACACCTTGTCATTTCCGTAAATAATATGGAAAAGGATGGCGATTTTTTTTTTTTTCAAATTAAGTTACAACAATTTAATGGGTTATTTTTAGTGGGAGATAAAATATTCACAAAGAAAGATTTTTGTTTTTAAATATGGTCATTTACAAAAATACATTATCAGGACAGGAAAAATCAGATGACACTGCTAGTTTGCAGCATAAACATTATGTTACAAAAATTAATAAAACACACCATGTGAATGGCAGCTTATGCCATGCACTTAATTGAAAGTTTTTAATAAATAAAAGCCCTAATAATTCACTATTTTCAGTAAGGTTACTATTATATTAAGTAGAATAGTGAATTTCTTGTATAAATAGGTTTTTCAATACATACATTCTCAAAAATGAACCACTTATCTATATAGATATTGCACTTTGAACTCATTCACATGTAACTCAGACAAGCATTCCTCATAACAAATTTAGAATAAAAATAAGTTATAAATACAGCATTCTGCCAAAACTAAACATAGAGTACCTCTTTCATAAGGTAACTTTGGTTACTATCAACTGACAAAGACCAGAGATATGTTTCTGAGAGGAGGGCAGAAGGTGTGGCCACAAAACTGAATTTCTGTAAAACACTGATAAAGTGAGCGATAATTCTAACCTAGCCGTGACACCACAGCAAGGCTGAGCATCCCTCCTACGCTTTATTATTGCAAGGAAGTGTGAAGCTTTGTTGGGCTCACAGGGACAAACAGCTTACAGCATGAAGGGGCTCCTTGTCTTTGAAGCTGAGGGAGATTTAGGTGGGTGAGGGTCACCTTTTTCCCTCAGCTCCCCCTTCCCCCTCTTTTTGCTCTAACCAGTGTGGTCCCTGGGGGAGCAGCTCTCCCAACGGCTCTGCTGCCGGGAGAGGGCTGGATGGCGGGGGCTCTCCGAGACGCTGGGCGTCCCATCTCTGTGCTCCTGACTGACCTGAGTAGCCTTGACCTCTCCTGAGAAAAGCCCCTCTATGCTTGAGCAGCTTTTGCCTGGGGTCTCTGTCTTCATGGCTTGTGCCTTCTGCTGCCATTCCCTCCTGGGGACGGCATGCTCCAGTTTGGCGTGGGCTTTGCTCTTGCAGGACAGCAGTACAAGTCGGTGTGCAAATGCAACCTCCATGGAAGAAGGGAACCACCCTGTTGTCCTCAGCAGGACTTCTGCAGACTTGGTATTTCTCGTGGAATACGCGCCCAAGCTGAGCTGTCCATGGGTTTCAAAGAGATGCTCTCAGATCCCACGAAAGTGGGACTGACTGGATCCTTTCTCAGAGGACCACGCTATGTTAATCCCTGATGCGCCACGAGCTCCCCGCCTGCCACAAAGATGGGCACAGGCACAAACGCAGCACTAGCACCAGGCTACTCCTTCTTTGCAGTTACTGAGAAGCTGCTGTGCCCACTGACTACGTTGTGCTTGTGTTCACCGTGCAAGGAAGTCTGCTCTCGTTCAGTAAGGCTGCATTAAGTGCCTGATATAGAAGTAAAAAGGTGGCTGTATGTGGCTCTGAGAGACCACACGCCAAGATCTGAAACGGAGGCAAATTAGAAGTAATGTATATTCAGCCTACTTGCAAATATCTTCTCAATTTCTACACTCAGCATTGCTGGGATGCTGGTTTTTGAGTGTGAAGAAAGAGAAGTTAAGCTACTTTAAATATGGTAAATATTTAAAAGCCTTAGTCCAAGCTGATCTGTGTTTTTACTGCTGTTGGCTATTTAGTGGATTTCTTTCACAAACAGTTTTTTTAACATTTAAGTGGCAACTCTGCAATAGGATGGCATAAACTGTCAGGAGAAGATCTTAGTTTGAGGTTTTAATATGTTAACTGCTAAAGGCCTGAACATAGGGGCTAACTAATAATCTCTATTGATTAAGAAGGAACCTGAAGGCTGTGATCACTCCAAACCTCACAGGAGAAGCTTTGGTGGGAGCTCTGCATCAGGCAGGACTTGGCCTCACACTTGAAAGTCTTTAGACTCCGTAACTGCAACAATAGTGAAGAAAAGATGCTGCTTTTGTTCTTGGCTCTGGAAACCTTCCTCCCTCCCACCCTCCCTTGAGCTCCCCTGTCTCGGTCGCATTCTTAAACAACAACTTAGAACATATGAATATTGGCAGCTTGCAGGATTGCTTTCCATGCCAAGGCTGCAACAGGTACTATATTGGTCCTTGATCCTTGTTCAAATGATCCAAAAAGGGCTTGCTGTAGTCTTTCACGCTGCCTCCTGCAATGAGGTCTCAGCAGCAAAGACTGTGTTGGTGGTATTCACATCAGAAACAACACATCATTTTTGGCAAGTGCACGCACCAGAAATGGCAACTTCCACTGTACATAAAAGCATCCGTTTGCTCTGTTGATAGTGAACTGCATGGTCAAGTAAGGTTTTGTTGCCGTTGTTTTAAAAGGTTGTAATTAAACGCTGTTGTGGCTTCTCCCCTCCAATGAGTTTGGAGTGCACTGGTGCTGGGATGAAAAACGTTTGAGTGTGACTAGGACTTGAACTCTGAATCATGATCAGAATGCTATATAAGAGACGGAGGTGTTTGCCTTCTCTCTTTTGCTCCTAAAATCAAGTGCTGCTGTTCCCTCCTAACAGTCTGATCCGCCCTCGGTCTCCCAGGGAAATGAAATCAAATGACCACTCTTCAAAACAGCCATTTCATCAAATTACATCCTGAAGATGTAACCACTTGAAAAGAACTTGCACCCAGAAACTCCAACTACTGCCCTTTTCATGGTGATATTTTTATAGGCTTTCCGTTCTTATCATACTGGTAAACAAGCATTTTGATGCAGTGGGAGTTGGCTGGGGAAATCCAAGGGCTGCTTGTTATGGAAAAGTTATGGTTTGTATAGAATTGCACAGGTTGCTTCTGACACTTAAAGAAGGCTTTCAGCGTGGCAGCTGCCATTGTGCGAAATCTTTTGCTAATAAAACAGTAGAGGAAGAAATTAATTGCAGTGTTCAGCAGTGCTAGCATATTGGCAATGTCTGACACAATATGTACCACCCAGCTGTTGTTTATAGGTGATACGTAGAGGTGGTACAATATCATGATTATTCTTGGTGCCCAAAGTATGGCAAAAATAGAAGTTATGGTAAACAAAATGGCTGTTGTTTTCCCTGTGGAGTACCCTCGCAGTCGGAAATTGCTCTTTCGCCGCAGCTTGTACACAATGATGGAATTCAGGATGAAGAAGATGGAGCAGGGCACCAAGTAAACAGTGAAGCAGTGGATCCAGATGAGGACGTGATGCATTGATGTGCTTATGTAGTCTTCAATCCAAATGTTGGGCCACCAGTAGTAGGGGATGCTGGTTAAAAAGCAGGTGATATAGACACAGACAATGACTTTTCGAGTACGAGCAGGGTAGGAGACTGTGTGATACTTCAGCGGATGGCACACAGCTATATACCTATCAATAGTTAGTGGAACCGTAATCCAAATGGAGGTGTGGATGGAAGAAAATTCCAAAACCTCAATTATTTTGTCCAGCATCTGAGGCATCTGTTTGTTTAAGATGAAGTCTTCCATGAGAAAGTCAACAAAGACGATGAAGAAGAGAACCAGGATGTCAGCAGCAGCTAGAGCTAGAAGATAGTTATAGGAGGACTTTTGCCTGCGAGCCACCAGCTGGGAAAGGATGATGACTGTCAAGATGTTTGCTGTGGAGACAGAAACACAGAGTAAGGCTATTAAGATGTAACACTAGCTTTTCTGAGCGCTTGCTTGGAGCAGTAGATCTATTCAAGCACTTGGCAACAGGACTGCCTCTATTAAAGTCCAAGAAACCAAAAGGAAAACGCTACACTTGGGTCCCTCGGGAAGCTGTTGCAGTGAGAGGAGCACATGGCCCTGCTCCCAGCTGTGGGATACATTGGCACGGTATCTCACAGTATCCCAGGATGATGGCTAGAGAAAGCTGGGACCTTCACCCCAGATACAAGGTTAGGTGATGTCCAGCAGCCCTTTGCCATCTCCTCAGAGCAGATGCAGGGTTATGGCCCTGGTGCTGTTGCTGCTCTCTGGCCGGTCCTCCTGCTGCTGTGGGCACCCTGAGCAGGGGGTGATGGGACCCCTGCCCGTGTGCAGGGACGTGGTGGGAGAAGGAACGAGCAGCAGGAAAAAAAAAATCAGTATCTGACATGAACACACTCCTTAAGAGTTTCCCCCTTGCTTTACAAGTCCTTCAACTGGAAGGCATTTTTCCTCTGGAATGATAACAGCTCCACCTTTAAGGAAACCCCACTGGTCACATCGGACCTGATGGATGTTCTGATTCAGCCCAAGTGCAAACATCCCTGAGTTTCCTGAAAAAGCTTTTGCTTGCACCTCTTCGGTGACAATACAGACTCATCACCTAAACCATGCCTAGATGTACTGCACGACAACATTGTGGTGAAGTGCCCCAGTGCCTTGTCTCTGCTGTTTCAGTGTCTGGTTGGTCTCAGTCTTCTAAATATAGCGATATAGTCAGAACCACTGTGTCTTCTAAAGCTGTGATTCAACTTAAAAATACACTTTAATGGCTGCATGAGCCAGTGCTTTAAGGAATTCTGTAGGAAGGGCTCAGTCCTAAAGCCCCTGGCGAGGCAGAGCTCCCCACCACAGATGCAAACAGCCCTTGAGAGCTTTCCTGGAGCCAAACTTTAACTATTTGCTCACGTTTGTTAGAACTTACTGTGTAGTCTTGAATCAGGAAAAAAAGATCTCGTTATTCATAGTAGCGGTATGGCTGGAATGAGATAGGTGAGGTTGTTCCCATCAGAAGTTTATATCACTTGGCTAGAATACTTGAAGTAGTGTTTAAAAATCACAGGTTTGGTTTACTGTACAAGAAACTGCCAAATGTTTGTATTTGACATTTTCATAAGTGTTCTATAAATCACCTCTTCTGTGCATTCAGTGCTTTAGAAATTTCTGCCAGATTTGATGGATTTCCCAAAACAAATCAGCAGTAATTGCAAGGATTCCTTTACATCAGAGAAAGGAAGTTGCTGACATTAAGGTAACGATGACCTAGGACATATGTCCTACAACTGAAAATGGTCTTCTTCTATTTATTTATTTTTTAGAACTGTTTTACTTGTCACTGGAGAAAATGTTCTCCTTCGCAAATGCCTCCCAAGCCTGCTGTCTGGGAGCAGATTTCTGCCACTGGGAAATGAACTGTAGCAGAGTGAATGATCTTGAGTAATAGCCCTCATAAGTGTCACCTACTTTTGCATTAACTTAATATATTAGTTTTGTATCGTGAAACAAAACTAAACCAAACATGACAATCAACCGACTTTTTCTCTAAATAAATAAAACAAAAAAGCATGATCTTTCCAACACTATTGTCTCAAATCACCTTCAGGGGAATTTTCCCAATTCTGCTCTCCACTACCATGAATGCAGCTGCATTGATTTCTGCTCAGAGCAGACATGGGAGACGAGGGGTGATATAGTCAGAACTGCTGTGTCATTTTTCACTTCCTTTCTTATGAAAGCTGACTTGTTGTGCCTGCTCATGAGCCCTAGAGCTACAGTGAGTGATGTGCTGTCAAGGAAATCCTCGAGCTGGAGTGTTTATCGCGACTGTGCAGCCACTGGTGGTTTTGGGCAGCCAGGCTGAGCAGCTCAGCTTCGCAGACACTGGATGTGACCCGTGGGGTTAATCTTATCTTTAAAATCCTCTGCATTTGACTGACTCCAGCAGCAGCTGGAGCCAGTGTGCAGGAAGCGGGATGCTTGAGGATGTAGATCCCTGCTGGTAGCTCCAGCCTGACCGTCTGAGCTGCTCCTGGACAGATGCTGAAGCCGCACCATGTCCAGGCACAGCAGCCCTGCTCCCCATCCCTTCTGCCTGTTTTGGGAATCCCGCTGCTTGGTCTTCCCCTCCTGTTTTTCTACAGGAGCAGACTTAGAAGCAATCCTTTCCTCTGTACCCTCTCCCCTTGCCTTTCTCAGGGTTCCCAGCAATGGCAGTAACAGCATGTGCTGAAATGCGAGTTACTCATCAAAGGCCAGAGAGCTTTGTTTGGTGAGACGGATTAGGAAATTGATCTGACAAAGTACATGCAGGCTCTATCCAATTTTTCTGCAAGGGTTACAGTATCTTGTATTGGAAATGCTTTCCCTTGGATCACATTAGGGCTTTCTCTGGCTGGATGATATGAAATATAGTAATACCGTTTACGTTGTGAAAACGGATAGACACTGGGGTGCAGCAGAAGGTTGCCAGTATGACAGTGTCTTAGCACAGGATTTGGGAGTGGTTTTCCTGCTGCAGGCTGCATAGGGGAAGCAAAGACGAGCTATAGGTAAGCCTCAGTTCTTCACTTATTTTCTAGTCACTGTTAAGTTGGTCCTTGGTGAGTCCTCAAACACTATCAAAAGGTCATTAAAATGGGTAGGAATGCTGCTCTGTGTTAACAACTGTGTCTTTCTGCCATCATCTCATTGACTCCTGGGTGCGTATTTGGTGCTTCACAAGCTCTTCTGTAGGTAAAAAATACCTATTGAGTGTGAAAGGGGATGGAAGAGCATCTGAGATCACATTTTAACCTTGTTTACCCTAATTCTCACACTAATGTTGTAGTCAGTGATGAGGACTATGGCAGACTGGATGGAGATACAAAAATATCTTTCTCTACTGTAATGTACGTTGAGCTATGGCTGCGGGATAGGTCAATGCCCCTAAATTGTCCTGGATGGCACACTGCCCATTTCTCACAGTGTTTTTTCTAGAGATAACCTGAATGTGAAACAGATTGATCAGTGCACTGGGAGTTGATTAGGGAATAACAGATGGGAATTTATGCCAGCGTCACTTGCTGCAGTGCAGTATTCTGAATTTATAAATATCTAGTTGAGAACCAGAGCATGATTAGGGACTAGCTGGCTGAGGCCTTGAGATGCCATGAGCAGATGATGAGGAGCAACTGTAAGAAATGGTGGAGTCTTGATTCTTTCCTTTCAGTCACGAAGCTGCTTTTAAGACACAACATCTGAAGGTCTCTGACACGCACCCACCCTTGGTCCACACTGCCCGTAGTGTGTCAGCCTTCCAACTCAACCAGGCTTTGTCAAGGGATACGTCCATCTCTCCTTTGACATCTCCTGACTTTATCAGCTTCTGAACATGAACTGTAGCACTGAAATTCATGGTACTGCAGGTCCTACTTATTGGAGTGACCATCCTCTAGGGGATAACTTTGATTCTCATGTGGGTTGGGGTTTGCTTCCCATACCAAAACCATGCTGCCTTGCCTGCAGAGCCCGAGTGCCTCCTCAAAGCAGTGCCCATGACCTAAAGGCACAGTTTTTCCCCAGCTTCTTTTTTGTGGATTATAGTCACAGCTCAAACAGTGTCTAACAAAAGTCTTTGTGAGGGCTTTGCAGAACTCCTTCCACTGACTATTACCACCACAGGTGAGCTTAAGCAGGAGCAACGGCATTTGTCTAAAGAAGAAATAGGCATTTTTCTGGTATTTGGTTTTGTGGTTGTTATTTTTTATTGAGAGCATTTTGCATGTACAGAGCAGCCTGTCCACTGAAATAGCCTTCACAACACAAGCGGCAGTGCTGCTGCGTTGGGAATCGGGCCTGCTGTGTGGTTCAGTAGCTCAGCATCATAAACCACCTACATGAAGTAGCCAGGAGTGTCGCTCCCCAAGCGTGATAAGCATTCGGTCACTGAATATAATGGATACCTTTTACCAAATACAGTTGTTGCTAGGATCCCTACAAATTATTGTGCAATGTATGAAACTGCTCTGCAGGCCTTGCGTTAGTCACCTGACCAGCACAGAGAGATGGTTTATGAACAGGAAATTTTAAATTGCTTTAAAAAGATATGTTAGTAACACCTTCTTAGATTTAGAAACTCTGAGACTGTAAGAACAACATGCTGAAAGCAGATGGTAAAAAGGGGGTGTTTTGGCTTAATGGGTGATGATTTCCTCTAAGCTAAAGGCAATATTAAAATATAAATGGGTACCATGTCCAGCAGCCAGATCTGACCACAGTTACTAACACAGTCATTCGCCAATAGTTACCAAATTAGAGATGAGGATGGTGTTCAGCCTTTACTTCGTGTGCGAGCTCTCTGGAGAAGGTTATGACAAGGGGCGATTTCTGATGGAGGCTACACAACAGGAATTATAAAAAAAAATGCTGTGGCAAAGTAAATGTGTGTATGAATGATGTTGGCTGCAGCTGGTTATATATTTTAAAATGAACCCTGGATGCTGTTTGTCATTAGAGAAGATAGGGCTGTTCATGTTTTTCTCTTAGAGCCAGTATGGGTCAAACTCAACCCAAAAGCACATAGGGACAAGCTTTGTGAACAGTGCCGGCTCTTGGCTCATGTAATTTGTTCTTCTCTTTAATTATCTTACCATACCCTGAGATCCTTCCTTGAACCATTACAAAGCATAAAGAGACACTTTATAGAATATAATTAGTGCGATACGAGTTTTTCCTTCCCTGAGTGTTCCTGTGAGAATTGATTTTTAAAATAAATTGATTTATTTATTTATTGTTCTGAATGCCAAACAGCACACCCCCACATACTCTCAGGAGCGAAGGGCCCTCGGCTACTTCTGCCAGTGCCTCCACCTTCTCCCAAGGGATGGGAGAGGGATCTAAGGCAAAAAATGAGCATCACAAAAGCCACGGCAGGCACAGATGCAGGACTGCCACTGGG